TAGAAACTAGGAAATGCCAAAGATCGAACAGGGCCCTTTTCTTTTACTTTTCGACAAACCTTCGCAAGCATCCAACGTATTACTTCTACTTACATCCAGTCAGCAAAAACCTAGTCATACGGTCACACTGACATGTGAGGAAGGCGGGGAAGTCTCTGTCTTTGCAGACATAGTGCTCGGGGGCTGTTACGAGGAGACAGGAGGAGAGTAGGTGTTGCAGGGCGACGGCGGCACCTGCGGCGAGAGCACTCGGGGGCTCAGAGGGGCCCCAGCTCCGCGCTGGTCTTCATGAGCAGAACACACGTGTAAGTCACGATCTCGTACGAGCTGGGCAGCCGTTCTTAATCCCCGGGTGTCTCGGCTTCCCCATCTGCGAAGGGGATAAGTGATTCCTACTCTTCAGGTTGTCGTGAAGCTAGAACGATGGTTCAGGGACGCTCAGAAGAGGATGCCCAGGGCCAGTGTGGCCATGTCCATGCTGCTCCGATTCCTTAACTACCAGCCTCCGAGCAGGAGCAGCGTCCTCAGGGTGCAGCCCCGGGGCCTTCAGGGAAGGGACTTGCTTGCAGCCCTGTGCTCTGCTTGGGAGAGAAGTTCTAGGGGGCATGTCGTGCTCGCTGACGCTCCAGCTGAAGAGAATAAGTCAGGGTAAAGCACTCTGGACCTGGCGCGTCCTCAGCAGTTCGCTGTCGGAGCGTTTCCCTGCAGTGGCGGCGAGGCCGTGGGAGCCCTGCGTTGGCCGGCTGCTGTGCCGGGGCTGCACCAGCCCCCTCGCCTCTGGGTGCTTGGGATGAGCACGTTCGCCGTTTGGCACGCTGGGAGGGTGCTGCAGGCATTAGCTTGCTCTGTCTTGCTCATTCTCTGCTCATGGAAAGTTATCTGAAGGAAATCTGGTGTCCACGCAGCCACGTGTGTACTCTGACGTCACAGATCCGTGGGATGTTAGAGGAAGACAAGGACCACAGTGAGTGAGTGAGAGGGGGTCCCACGGGGCCGCAACCCGGCGTGAGGAGCTGGGGGGTGCAACGCAGCGGGAAGCCAGCAGGGCGGTCACCAGGGGCCACGTGGCCTGCTGCATGGTTTTCGATCGCTCTGGCCGTGTGGGGAATGGCTTCCAGGGGGCAGGAGGGCCTCGGGAGTCGGGCTCCGTGTCCCAATGCCGTAGAAAGGGCTGTACTGCAGACCTACGGAGCGTGCTTCTTACAGTCTCCCACGGCCCCGTCTGAATGTGAGCGGCCTGGGGCTCCAGGGGCTTACGGTGTAGGCGCCATCTGTGGCGGAAGGGCCCCAAAGATACCGACGTCACCCCTGCAGGCCCGCACTAATGCGTCCAGACACCGCGGACAGCACAGGCTGGGGAGCACGGGGCCTGCGCTCTCTGTTGAGGATGTGGTCCTTGCTGAGAAGCCGCCTCTGCCCACCCTTCAGTCCAGGAGCCCAGCCAGGTGTCCACCCTGCTTTGCTGCTGGGGTTCCCTGCAGGTGTCCGTGTGTCCCCTCGACGTCTATGACGGTGGCAGAGAAGGGGGCATGTGGGAAATGGCCGGCCCCCCCGCAGACTTTCCGTGGGCCGAGGTGATGAGGCGCAGGAGCCACGCTGTGAGAGCCTCCCCCCTGCCGGCTGTAGGGCGAAGGGAGGGCGGGGACGAAGGGTGAGCCTGGACTAGAGGCGGCGCCGCCCCGGAGACTTTAAGAGGTGTTCGATGGTGGAATAGCTACATTTCTGTGCAAAAACCTTTGCACGTCCTGACTGATTCTTTGAGAAATGCATTTGGGGGCAGCTGCGAGAGCACAGTGGTAAGCTGTATCTCACATGGTTGGCCGTTTCCAAACCCTGGCCCTGGGGGCCTGGAAAACACACCAGGTGTATGTCCGCGCGTGTTCAAAATCCTGATGGGGAGGAGAATGGAGGAGAAGGGGCTGCAGTGTGACCACACCCCACTGGTGCAGCGCGCTCTCTCTCTCTCTCTCTCTCTCTCTCTGGCAAGCCTATGCACCCTCTGGCAATTAAAAGAAGAAGAAAGAAATCTAATTCCAAGGATATGAATCAAAGGATATACAATCTTGTAATAGTTTTTATAGCGGTTGCCAAACTGCCTTCCGGAGTTTAACCAATTTACAATTCCACCTGCTGTGTATAATGAAATCAATTTCCCCTGTAATTTTACCAACATAAAATATTAAAATGTTAAAAATAGGCAATTTATTAAGCAAAATAAACATATGTAGATATATAGAGAGATATATATAGATAGGTAGATAGCTTTTTCGCCTTAATTTTCTCTTCTTGGGCTAAGTGTATTTCCTTATTAAGCGTTTGTTCTTTATCCATTTTCTTTTCTCACTGGGATTTCATCTTCCTATTACGACTTTGCTATCAGGCTTTCCTCTTGTTTTAAAAACCACACCCTGTCGCAGTGCCATGGCGCCGTCTGCGTGGACCCAGTGGTGACAGTAGATGTCTGGTTGAGAAAAGAGCTCTCGGGCTTTCTGACCTGCGTGACCGGACTCTGCTTCCTAACCCTGGTTCCTCCCGTCTCCCCACATGGGGCCCTGCTTCTCCGTAGGAACGGTTACTAACAGCTCGATGGAGGTATCGCAACTATCCTTACCAACTTACACTTGTGTTCTAGTTTGGTTGCGTTTTTTGGCATGCAGAGGTTTCTCCTGTTTAATTTTATGTAGTTAAATCCAGCGATCTTGCCTGTAGTGGAGGTCTTCCATACCCACCGATCATGGCCAGGAAGGAAAACATAAGCACTTTACAGTCTCGACCTGTGAAGCCACCACGCGCAGCACACTCATGGCGGGTCTGGTCTCCCAGCAATGTGGCAGGTGACCGCAGCCATGCCTCCGTCACACTGAGTGAGGGTCCTGCACGACAGGGCAGAGCCCACGGCCTCTCTGCTCAGGGTGAGGGTCCTGCACGATGGGGTAGAGTCCATGGCCTCTCTGCTCGGGGTGAGGGTCCTGCACGACGGGGCAGAGCCCACGGCCTCTCTGCTCGGGGTGAGGGTCCAGCACGACGGGGCA